CGCCGAGAAACACGCCGCGGCGCTCGCGGAGCAGCGTTCCGCCATGGCGTCGAGCAACGAGAGCTCCCTCGGGGAGACCGCGGCGCGGCACGAGGACGCGATGGCGACGCAGCAGCGCAAGCACGAGGCCGAGATGCGATCCGCGACCGAGGCGCTCCACGTCGAGAAGGACCGCGAGCACTCGGCGCGGCTCACGGCCGCGCTCCGCGAGCGCGACGAGGCGCACGCCGCGGAGCGCCAGGTGCTCGAATCGAGTCTCGGCGAGCGACATCGAGCGGAACTCGAAGGGGCTGCTCGATCCCACGCGCTCGAGTTTGAACAGGCGCAACAGGCCCTGGGCCAGTCACACGAGCGAGAAACGGCCGACATCGTCGCCGCTCACGAGCGAGAGCTCAAGGACGCGGCGGAGAGACATCGGGCGGAGCTGTCTCAGGCCGCCCTCGAATACGACACCGCGGTGAAAGCGACGCTCATCGAAAAGGACGAGGCGCACGCGGAGCGGCTCCTCGAGATGGAATCGGCCGCGTCGTCTCAGCTCGTCGACGTGAGCCAACAACTCCACGACACGCGGAAGAACGCGGGCGCAAGCCTGGCCGCGGGCATCTTGTCTCGGCGGTCGAAGCTCGGCGTCCTTCGGGCGTTCCACCAGTGGAGCACCGACTCGCGGGAGCACCAGCAGCGCTCCCGGGAGAAGCGGCAGCACGCCGACGCGCTCAACGAGGCCGTGAGCTACACCCAGGAGTCCCTGAGCAAGATTCACGGCGTCACCTGCATGTCGCGCGCGCTCGACCGGCTCCAGCACGCGTCGCTCTTCCGCGCGTGGTCCAAGTGGAGCGGATCGCTCCGAGCCCGCGACCACGCGGCGCGGCTCGACTCGCTGCGGAGCGAGGGGGACGCCGCGCAGCAGCTGCTCGTCGAGAAACACGACGCCTCGATCCAGCAGAAGGATCAAGAGTTCGCCGCGGCCCTCAAGGCGCGCGAGGACGAGCTCGTCGCCACGCACGAGGCCGAGCTGAAGGATCGGGCCGAAAAGCACGCGGCGGAGCTCGAGCAAGCCCAGCAGGCGCACCAGCAGCAGCAGGACGTGCTTCGAGCGAAGCACGATACCGAGCTCGCGTCGGCGACGGAGATGCTCGCGCTCGAGAAGGACCACGACCACAGTTCAGCGCTCGTGTCCGCGCTGCGCGCTCGGGACGACGAGCACGCCGCGGCGATGGAGAGTCGCGAGAAGGAACTCGTCGAGAGACACGCCGCGGCGCTCGCCGAGCAAAAGGCGTCGCTGTCCAAGTCGCACGAGGACGTCCTGGGCGAGGCCGCGTCTCGACACGAGGACGCCATCGCCGCGCAAAGAAGAACTCACGAGACGGCCGTCGGGGAGACGGCAGCTCGGCATGAGGATGCCATGGCCACGCAGCAGCGCAAACATGAGACGGAGCTCCAGTCGGCAACGGCTACCCTCGGGGTCGATAAGGACCGCGAGCGCCTCGAGGCCGTCCGTGAACGGGACGCGGCCCACGCCAAGGAGCTCCAGGACCTCGAAGCGAGCTTTAACGAGCGAACGAAGAGCGAGCTCAGCGCCCGGGATGCCGCCCACGGCGAAGCACTCGCGGCACTACAGACCCAACACGACACGAAGGTCGGCACCATGCAGGACAATCACGCGACTTCGCTCGCGTCCGCGATGGAGATGATGGCTCTTGAAAAGGACCACGATCACAGCTCGGCGCTCGTGTCCGCGCTCCGCGCCCGCGACGAC